TTAACTTTTAAATAGCTTTCTAAATTGAGATTAGTCAATTATTTATATCAGATAGTGCATGCTGGGACAAAGAAGTGCATTATGCGACCGGCTGCGAAAGGTTCTTATGGACAACCTTCAGGGAACGCAGTCTTACATTCATGTATACCGCGGCCGATGCTCAGCCAGATGTTCGTGATGACCAAAAATGGAGTGATAATGACTGATGAAAGTGTATGTTTGGACGCACCGGAACGAGATATACAACAAAAGACGCCAAAAGTAAAAATAATGGCATGTAGCGGTCGCGAAAGACAAAAATGGAAATATGATGAAGAAGTACCGTATTTCTGACTGATAGAATATTAACTATGATACGTTTCTTTTAACAATTTTTACAATATCAATGATTATTTCTAGACAAAAGTAATTTTGCACGTGCCTTCTGAGATGTGTCTTCAAGCAACAACGGATGATGACACGCTTACAATAGCGGCTTGTACTAAGAATCTCGATCAACAATGGATCTTGGAACCAGTTTCTTGGAAGTGATAATCATGATGTCAATGTTATTAACTAAGAAAAAAAAGAAAAAGCAGTGCCTTAATGAGTTGTCTATCAGTAACTAATAAATATTTTTACTGATACATTAACTGTCGCGACAATTGTCATGAGTGTCATTTTAATGAAAAATTAATATTTTTTTTTACTTTTATACTGAACGAATTCAAATAAGATGTATGTCTTTGCTCTACAACAAGGTTTGAAACATACAATAAAAAAATAATTTATACTATTATTGCATCTATTATATATATTATATTTTTTCTCCATGACTTCCAATTCTACATCATTAAAATTTCTTGAACATTTTTATTTTTATTTTTTTTATATTTGCAATTTAATTTCGTTTATTATTTCTTTTAATTTTGTTTTTCTTCCTTTCTAATTTATTTCTATAAAATTGCATTTAATATTTTATAACAGGTAGTATATTTAAAAAATAAGCACAAAAACATAATACAATTTTTTACATTGTGCTTTTCATCTGGTAAATAGATCTCGTTTCACCATCTAATGGATGAGATGACTATGCTGGATCACAGTTAATAATCTGAACATGAATGATCTGCTTCGAGAATAAGAATGCGTCGATGCCATAATTATACGTGAGCATCGTTTTGCTATATAATTTCCTATTAACGTTATCCTTCAAAGTAACGGCTTATAAACGCCAAGCTGGATAACTAGTTTGGAAGTGTTTTAAATAAATGCACGCGCGCGTGGATTGCGGGGACACGTTCTTTAGACCGATTTGGCATTGCCTTAAATAGGTAATCCTCCGCTGTCGCAATTCCGAAGAAGATGCGTATTGTTAGTGATTCATTGCTAGTTAAGGTCCTGTCGACGAGTCATCTTTATTGTCATCGTCGTCAAGGCTAAATCGAAAATGCTTCAGTTTGACATCGTTTCGTTGTAATATTAACGATGAATGCCATTTAGAAGCTCCTTTGTGTTTTATGAAATAGTTATTATATAAAATATTTCTTCTAGTATTATTTAAATTTGTGAAAATATAAATTTTATTTATAAATTTTTGAAAAAATTATCAACAATGCAGGAATAATTTAAAAGCATAATACTGCTATCGAAAAAACTATTCATATATCAAATATTTATTCTGTATAAAAAAAAAACGCAAATAAATACAGTTTTAAAAAAATATTCAACTTGTCAAATTTGATGATTATAAGTACTATGTTAAATTTATCTACGTTTCTGACGTACTCGCCTTTTTTTATTTTAAACGTTCAATTTAACTGCAATACGCCATCACAGTACATTAACGTTTCTAATTAAAAGTATAATGTTTCAAGGATCTAAATTCCTTCCAATCCATTCTGATCAATTACAGTAGTCAAATACGCTTGTAGAAGGTTAACATCATATATAGTGTATAAAGTTTCTCTCCTCGACAATATTTATTCCATAATGTATTATTATTTCTGCTTTTGATGATTAGTTTGATCATTTATAATCCGCATCATATAAACAAGGCTTAAAATGTGTATGCATTCTAATATATAATAGCTTAAGAAATATCTTACATGTTTATATTATTTTTTATCATAAAATTTCCAAGCCAAAAAACACAAATGACGTCAAATGACTCCAAAATGTCACTAAAAGTCACTTTTCATTTACGATTCGTTTTAACGTTATTTTGACGTTATTTTTCTTGTATAACTTGTTATTTTGAGGTGTATAAATGCAAATAATTATTATATAAAATATTTTTTTCTAGTATTATTAAAATTCTAAAATTATATAAATTGTGTTACAATTTTTTAAATATTAATATACCTGTTTATAAAACAACAATTAAAGTTGTTTAACTACATGTTATTGTTACTTCACTACATTACTTTGCCACATTCTATAATTGCAATTATAATAACGTTTGTATATATAAATGTTATATAATTGACGCACAATAATGACAAACGCAACATTATTTAACAGTTTTGAATAAATTATTTATCGAAATCTGAAGTCTCAAGGTTAATTGGCGAATTGATTGGAAAGTTATTATTATATCACGACGCGTGATAGGAGATCGATCTCTGTCATATCGTTTCGGTGTGATTTCGAGCCAGACGATACAAATGAGTTGCATTCGCGGGCTACTTGGCACAGTTTACCGATATCTGGGTCAAAGTCATGTCCTCGGTGAGGCTGCAGAGAAGGCACTTAGCCCGAAGCGCAGTATCCCGCCCGTGCCTTTGGATCTGATCACCTCCAGGCCAAGTTTGGTTGAGATGACTTTTATTTATGGATTCACGTCGTCTCCGAAACGAAAAATTTTTTTCCCGTCGACAAATGTAATCGAAACAGCATCGAGACACCGCGCACATATTTTGCACAAAGTTCTAATTAAATTTATTTTTAAATTAAAGAGAAATTTTGTGCAAGAGTTTATTTTATGTAAAAGTAATATTAAAATTAATATAAAATATAATATACAATTATTTAATTTGAAAAGTGATATTATGGCTAACGTTATTTAATAAAAATCAAATGTTTAATGTTATTGATTTGTTCCTATATATTTATAATTAATAAAATCACTTATTCAATTATATGCGCTTGTACTTTAGTCACTTTTAGTATAAGCAGGACTATAATTTTATAAGGAACGGGAAATAGTTAATCATCAATATGCTTAATGAAGGCGGTTACGATATAATTAACTCTAGATATTCTAGATGACGCATCTTATTATTTCTTTAGTTTAATTTCAGTTGTGAAAATAGCATAGAAATAAAACGGATATAGTTGTCTCTATAATTTTCGAAATTTATCATCAAGTCACGTCGCCAACTTGTTCACTGGTAATGTGTAAGTGTTCCGGTTCTCATACACTTATGACCCTGGTCAAGTCCTCGTTTCCCACCTTAAATTGCGGTTCTTCTTCTTAATGTAGGGAAAAAAAAGAACTTAATTTCTTGAAAACGGGCTTTTTTCGGTTGAACCCGCCATTGACCCTCTTGACGTACAGCTGTAAAAAAAAGAAAAGATGATCTTAAAAAGCATTTAGACGCGTGAAAGAAAATACCGCACGATTTAAATATTATGAACTAAAACAATAAACTAGAAGCCAGACTTCAGCTTGTTTAAATTATTCTAGTTTATGTCGTTCACGTAACCACTGTGATATATTAATGATATCTGACAACTAACAAAAGTTTCAAGATAATATTAATGACATCTGACAACTGACAAATGTCGTTAGAAAAATTGAATTTGTGAGAAAAGAATCATGAATTTTTATTAATTAGAAGAAATAAATATGTTTTAAAAAGTTTTCGAAAATGTAGAA